GGAGAGGTGTGTGGTGCGCTAGCCGTCGCCCACCCTAGGGAGTCTGCCTCTTCCTATCTCTCTTCGCAGTCTCTCTCCGTGGTGAGGGTAAAGAAAGAAAAGAATTTAAACAAGACAACTCTCTCCCACAGCACACAGGCTCGACACAGGTGCGAACTGGCGCGTGCTAGTACTATCACCGGCACACCACCGGAGCCGCCTAAGAAAAGAAAGAAAGAAAACAGACAACCCAAGGGAGGGATGGGAGGACGGCACGCCGCCACCACACAGGGATTTTAAGGAGAGGAGTGTGATGCGCTAGCCGTCGCCCACCCTAGGGAGTCTGCCTCTTCCTATCTCTTTTCGCAGTCTCTCGCCGATTCTCGCTGCAACCTTCATGCCACCTCGCGGCCGTCCCACTCTCGTCGTTCTCTCCCTTGTCACTTCCTCCTCTGTCGCGTCATTCTCTTCTGCCTCGTCCTGCGCCGCCGCCGCCTGCCGTTCCCTTGTTCTCTCGGCTTCTTTCGCCTTTCGGCGCAGCTCCGCCCTCCTTGCTGCATATCCTGGCCCCTCGAGTCTATCGAGCTCCCCTCGCGCAAGGACCACATTTCTGACTCCCACTCCGATCATTTGCCTCCAGGTCATGTTGTTGCTCAGGTCCACTCTCTCTTCGAACACTCGTGCCTCTACGGATGATGCCGGCGCAGGGGTCCCCTTCGGATGCATCGTGACATCTGACAACTGAATTTCCACTGGTTCGTCCTCCTCGGAGTCATCTTCCCCGTCCTCCTTCCGTTCGGCTCTTCGCTCGGTACGTTCGGTGTGGCTCACCCTCCATGCCGTGAACAGGCGCTTTATCCACCCTATATTCTTCTCTCGCTCCTCTGCCCGTGCCTTGGTCTTGTCGTTGTTTCGCACCCATGTCTGTATGGCAATCGAGGCTGCCTTCCCCACTACCTGTAGTTCACTCGTCACCTCTCCCGCGAGCTCCCTTCTCTTTCTTTCGGGTATGGAGTCCGTGAGTGCGGGTAGCGTGCAGGCAATCACGGGCGCTATTTTGTCGTACTCCTCTTCGGCGAGCGCTCCAAATCTAGACCCTTTCGCCTTTAAGGAGGCTGCCCTCGCTCGTCTCAGGAAAAGAAAGAAAGAAAGAAAACACACAACCCAAGGGAGGGATGGGAGAACGGCACGCCGCCACCACACAGGGATTTTAAGGAGAGGAGGGTGTGATGCGCTAGCCGTCGCCCACCCTGGTCTCAGGAAAAAGAAAGAAAGAAAGAAAACACACAACCCAAGACGGCTTCCAGGAAGGCGCCCGAAATTCTTTTGCAAACTCGCGAAGAGAGCGCCTTCGCCCACTCGTGGGCCGCCTTGCCGGGCACACCATCTGTGTGTGTGTTTGTGTGCATGCGTCGCAGCATCTCCCGCCTCTCTCGGAGCAGCAAATCGGAGCGCAGCTCCACGTCGGGAGATCCTTTCGCCGCCGCGCCCGTTCGCGGCCCATCGCCGCGCGGGCCGCTGACGAGGACCGTCTCGCGCTTCTCGGCCGACCCGGACAGGGCGCACGACAAGAAGGTGGCCGGGCTACCAATCGACCCGGCGGTGACGGCTGCAAAGCTGTCGCTGCGACGGCTGCGCGACGCGGTCGATACGACGGCGTCCTTCTACTCCAAGTACGCGGAGCGCAAGCGGGGGGCGGCGAGCGGCAATCTGCCTCTCCTGCTGCCCGACCTGGCCGAGTGGAGCCGCCACGAGGCCTTTTGCGGCGACGAGGAGAGCCGCCGCGTGCTCCACACCTGCGCGGCGCAGCTCGCGGCCATCGACGACCTGCTGGCGGCAGAGCACGCGGCAATCGGCCGCGCGGCGGCGGGCCTTCGTGGCGAGGCGAGGCGGCTGTGCGAGGAGGGGCTGGACGCGGTCTGCGCCTTTGAGCTCGCGCTCCGCGACGCGAGCGCGGCGAGCGAGGCGGCCACCAAGGCGCTCCGGCGAGGCGCTGCGGCGGGCGAGGCGGCAAAGGCGGACGGGCGCAAGGCGGCGGCGCTCAAGGACGAGAAGAGGCGGCAGGCGGCGCAGGCGGCGGCGCAGCGCGCGCAGGAGAGGGCGGACGCCGATGTGGTGCAGGCCGAGGGCGCGGCGCGACGCGCAGAGGAGTTGCTCGCCCGGGAGCCTAGAAGCGGAATACGTATTCATGTCTCCCAACCAGCACTCGAGAGGACACGGACTCCGCTGCATCCCGCTGCATTCCGCTGTCCTCACCGCCCTCCTCTCCGTTGTCTTCCTTGCGTTGCTCTGTACACGCTGCACACTCCCGTCTTCACGCCCTCAAGTCGGCGTATTCAGCGAGTAGGCTCGGCTTGCCTCCGACGCACAGCCCGCCGCCTTGCGCGCCGCTGCGGAGGCTCGTCAGCGCGCGGAGGACGGGCCGGTGGCCTCGGCGGCGGAGGGTCTGCGCGATGCGTACGGCTCCGTTTGCCTAGAAGACGAAGCATGCGCTCCCACACGTAATGGCTCCAACGTGGAGTACACCAATGCACAACGCAGAGTTGCCACAATGGGTCACCGAGACGCAGTGCTGCACCCTTGAATCCAAACTACTCCAAACCTCGAGGCCTCGAGAGGGCACGACTTCAGACGCACTCGACCGGTCGCTCCGATGTCGACCGCTGTCGTCCCCTGTTGCTCGGACACTCCCGCACCGCTCTGAAGACTCTCCAGACTCCCGTCTTCCCGCCCCGATGTCGGCGTAGCCACCGCTGAACCCACACCTGATCCCACCCGCAGGCCCCACCACTTACCTTACCTTACCTCACCACCCGCAGTCTGCTTCGCGCTCGGCGCTGCGCGCGTCTTGCGCGGGGCCCAGCTGCCGAGCGGCTACTGCCCGACAGCAAAGCGCAAGGCGCCCAAGGAGACGGGCGCGCGGGCTCTCGCGTCGTGCGCGCGCGCGTCGCTTCTGTTGCGTATTGCGATTGTTTCCTCCAGGCGAGCGCGGTTCGCGTCGTCCGTGCGTGCCCTGTGTTTCGGCTCGACAGTTCGTCTCTCCCTCTATAGGCGCGCGGTTCGCGTCGTACGTGGTGCAGTGGACGCTGGCCAAGCGGCGCGGCAAGGCGGCGGCGGCGCTGCTGGACGAGTTTGCTAAGTCGGGCCTCGAGGCGCTGCTTTCGCCGCCAGGGGAGGTGACCTCGCCCCTCACCCCTCACCCCTCGCCCCTCACCCCTCACCCCTCACCCCTCACCCCTCGCCCCTCGCCCCTCGCACCTCACCCCTCACCCCTCACCCCTCACCCCTCACCCCTCACCCTAGGAAGCCGCGCTCGAGCTGCTCGCCGCGCGGTGCGAGTCGGAGGAGGCGGCGCGCAGGCTTCGCGCGGTGCCGCTGGCGGAGGAGGCGCAGGCGGAGGCGGCGCGCGGGTGCGGCCAGTGCCATTCTGCGTGCGTCGCGCTCTCGGCGGCGTGTGGCGAGTTCCGGTCGCTGCTCAAGGAGCGGGTGGGCATGTATTTCTTTTGGCTGCCAGGTTTCTGTTCGCCCTCTAGGCTGCTGCTCAAGGAGCGGGTGGGCATTATTTCTTTTTTGGCTCCCAGGTTTCTGTTCGCCGAATAGGCTGCTGCTCAAGGAGTGGGTGGCTAGTGCAGACGAGTACGAGAAGCGCGAGAAGGCGCGGAGGGGGCTCGCCGAGCTTTCCCCCTTGTGTCTCTTTTCGGCCCAGCGATTTCTTTTTCTCTAGGCGCGGCGGGGGCTCGCCGCCAAGCGCGACGCGGCGCAGGCGGAGGTCGGCAAGCTGAGCGCGGCGGCGGAGGGCGCGGGCGCGGCGGGCAAGAGCGGCGGCGCGGCGGAGAAGGCACGCGCCGCGCTGGAGAAGAAGCGAGGCGAGCTCGCCCGGCTGTCGGGCGAGGTGGCAGACAAGGCGGCGGCGCGCGAGAGGGGCCCGAGATCGCACGAGATCGCGCGAGAGGGACCCGAGATCGCACGAGATCGCGCGAGAGGACCCGAGATCTCCCGAGATTGACCGAGACTAGGCGGCGGCCAACGAGGCGATCGCGGCCGACCTGGAGGCGTTCGCGGCGGGCATGGGGGGCGAGGGCGGGCGTTCGGTGCGTCGGCTCGCCTGCGACCCCCGCGCTGAGTTTCTCGCAGCGGCGACTTCTTGTTTCCGTAGGTACGTCGGCTCGTCTGCGCGCCTCTGCGCGAGTGTGTGGTCGCGTACGCCGCGCTGTGCGCGACGAGGGCGGGGGGGGCGGGGGCGGGGGCGGAGGAGGGGGAGGGGGAGGGGGAGGGGGCGGCCGTGGCTGCGCCGGCCCGTCGCGACCACACCGAGGAGCGATTTAATTTCATTCGATTTCACTCCATTCTATTTAATTTAGGCCCGTCGCGACCACACCGAGGAGCTGCGCCAGCGGCTCCACGAACAGGTGGAGGAGGAGCTACTACCGCACACTATTGCTGCTACTCTTGCTCCTCCTTCTTCCGCCGCGCACGCCCCCTCTCCCTCGCGCGCACTGCGCTTCCCGCTCGAACCGCCGTGCGGCGCCTGTCTCCCTGTTCTGAACCCTCTCGGAACCTTCCGACAGGTGGAGGAGGAGCGGGCGAGGAGGCGGGCGGAGGAGGAGGAGGAGGAGGAGGAGGAGGAGCCGGCGAGGCGCGACGCAGCGGCGGCGAACAACCCCTTTTTGTGCGCCGGCAGCGACGCCGCACCCCCGCCGCACGCGCTCGAACCGCCACTCGCTTCGCCGACCGAGGCTGGCGGCGGTGGCGGCGGCGGCGGTGCGCTGCGCAGTCCGACGTGGGAGACGGCGCCGGCGGGCTGGGCGGGGGGAGGAGGCGAGGAGGTGCAGGCGGCGCCGGAGCAGCGCGAGTGGTGGGAGGCGGAAGGAGCGGTGCAAGCGGCGCCAGAGCAGGCGGCGTCGCAGCAGCGCGAGTGGTGGGAGGCGGAAGGAGCGGTGCAAGCGGCGCCAGAGCAGGCGGCGTCGCAGCAGCGCGAGTGGTGGGAGGCGGAAGGAGGCAAGGAGGTGGCGCAGGAGGTGCAGGGCGGAGGAGAGTGGTGGGTGGCGGGGGCGGCGTCTGCACCACCCTTACCCGCACCCCTCTCCGCACCCCTCTCCGCCCCTGCCCCCCTCCCGGTTGTCCACGGCGAAGTCGTCGAGAGCGGCCAGCCGCCGTGGGCGAGCGGCGAGGCCGGCGGCGAGGCGCAGCCGCACTCACTCACACTCACACTCACACACACACACACACACACACACACACACACACACACACACACACACACACACACACTCTAGATTATGTGTAAGACAACCTCC